TTCCCGACCTTATATCGACGACTACTGTGAGCCCTTTGGCGGTACAGCGAAAGCCTTTCCTCAGGGCTGCTGCCAATGGCGAACCTATACGATTACTCATCTTCTTCTTCTAGCGTTATAACCCTATGTGGGTCTTAGCTTTCTCGACGAGTTTTTTCCATTCTGTCCTATCATTCACAATTCTTCTCCATCCCCTCACTCCCATCGTCCTCCACGTCGTCTATCCATCGTTTCCGTGGTCTCCATTCCATCTCTCTTCTAGTTACCCTCTTACGATCACTCATCTCGTCCTCAATATTCGTCAAGATTTGTCTTAACAAAATTCAGTGAGACAAGGGTTGGTGACGAAATTGCCAGACACATGGAATGTAATTTATATTGAAAATGGTAAGTGCGGTGTTTGCCGAAACGTCGCTCGACACCAAACAAACATTCGACGCCGTTCTCAGCCGAAGGCCGAATGTAATCCCGGGATTGGCCGATTTTTAGATCTCTTCCGGCATTTAAGTGGCAGAGAGCAGAGTTGTACCTGCAGCGTCCTCCTTGGCCTTGACATGTTGGTAATTGACACCCCTGCCCAACAGGTGCAATGGATGCAAAGGCGAGGCAGTAGCATTACAGAGGTATGTGGAAAGGAATGTTTGTCTACACCACTCCCCCACACAGCTTTTCCCAAGCTCTCCCCCCTCCCGCCCCCCGCCCCAACTTCAAAAACTTGTAATTATGCATACCTCTGCAATACCAAAAAGAAGTAGGCACGTACACACAAACTGTTCCCGCTTCTCGGCGCCTTCCTCCTATTGGCTGATAATTCGAGACGCACTGCTTTGACTAACCTTTAATCTGCTCTGCGGTTGGCTGAAGGGAAGAATGATGGGCGGGTTGTATCTTTTTTACTTCGGAAAAAAGAGGAAAAAGCCCTGAGATGTTTACCACAGAGAAAAGGATGGGATATTTCTTTAGCGGTGAGAAATAATTGATTGATATTTTTTAAGTACTTGGAAAGTTTCAAATTAGATGGCTCATTTTTGTAACAGGAAACACCTCAATCCATTTCGACAAAGTTTAATGTAACGACAGTTCCTGGATTGATATTTTGATGAGACTGTAATGAACCTGAGAAGTTTGTGAAAATCTCCTTATTTTGCGGTACGATTTTTCGTATCAGAAGAAATAATTCAGATTAAATACGTACAGCAACCATAAATATATAAAACAACAAAGTTAAAGTCAACTGAGTCACTAATGCCACCAGCAGACAGAAAAGAGAATAACGAAAAATACAAAATTCTCATTTTCCTGTAGTGACAACTCAGAAAAGTGAAAAATCCCCCCCACATCTGGAAAAGGACTGCAAATGAAAGCTTACAAGACACGTGCAAAACAATTGACTGGGCGAATAAGAATCATAACTTATGACTTGGCGAGTTTGCGTTGTAAAACAAACAGAAAATTATGTTACTTTCTAGAATGTCGTGGGGAATGTTCCAGTAGGAACTCTTGTCGGTGCGACGGAATAAGACAATGAGGTACGCCACTGCACGCTACCCCAAAGCCCGCTTTCTAATTCTCGACAAGATGGCGGACTAGTGAGGTGGGACCGACACTAACGCGGGTACATTCTTTGTTTCTGCAATTATTTCTCGAGGACGAAGCTCTTCTAAACACTGTACAAAGTCCAACTGCTGTAGGGGGGAGGGCTTTATTCCGAGAATCGTACAAGACCCATCCGTACCCAGAGAGCAAACGCAGATTGTTAAAACAGGTAATACATATTGTCTTAGCTGAATCTTAGAGGGTTTAGAGACATTTCAACACACATCTACGCTACATTGTTTAAAAACGTATTGTAGTAATGACAATGGAAAGTGTGTATATTATGTTCCAATTTCCTCGTTCCCTGTTTGAAAAAGAGGGTAGCAAAGAGAAAATGAATAATCTGATACTCTAAAGAGATAAAGCTTACGTTTTACATCTCTTGCGGTGTACTGTTGCGCTTATGCGGAAGATACTGACGGTAACATTTGCTTAGTGGATGCACAACGAGGCTTTCTAACTTAAGAACGCGTACCACTAATTCCGAAACGGATTACATGCCTCTTTCCAGCGTTGTTAAACAGATTACTGTAATGTCAAGTTGTTTAAGTCCAGACCCCGTTACTGATTCACGTAATGCCCAGTGCTTAACCAGCCGTCAATCCGTCTTCGCTCGCCTTGCGACAAGGGAGTTCTAGCAAAAATACCGACACAAATTCGAAGCGTGGGGTTATGATCCAAATTGGCTAATTGGCATGTCGATTAGGCAACTTCTCCAGCACATTCAGTAGGCGGGTCAGTCTAAGACAGTCCGTGCAGGGGCTGTAAAGCAAACTGCAAACTGTCAGTACCAGGAATTTTTAGCGTTCTAAAATACCGCACGATTACCCGCTAGTATCATCGACGTTCACTTACCAATGGGTTTAACTATCAAGAAGTAGGGAATTCAAATACTCTCTGACCTAAAATAGACTTCGGACAAGTCTAACTGACCTATGTTCCGGGGCAGCGGTGACCACCGGATGATATGCGAGTAGCTCGGTACTCTCAGCCTCGTTTACCTTAATATGAATCACTGACACTTGGCCACACGCGCTGTCCAATTCACTACCTCTTAGTTAAACGTCCCTCGTTAACTCTTCATTTTCTCATTCCCTCCTTGGGCCTGTCACCCGGGCGATCGCCCCATCGCGACGAGTGGGTTGCAACCCGCGATTCAAGGAAATAAGCACGTCAGACCGCTTGGTCGCTAGAACAAACAGTTCTGCCCGTCGGTCCGCCTGAGTTTTGCTAAAATCTGTCGGCAGATTCCAATTTTGGTTTAAACAGGGCAACAAAAACGGGCAACTTACGTGAAGGCTGATCGCTGCCGCGACTCCCAAAACGGGGAACTCCAAGACCATCGACGAGCTATAATGTTAAATTCTGACGAAGGTTCCAGAACTTTTACGCTACGCTTACATTTCCTAACACATTGTCTTCGCCAATTCATAATTAGTTACCCAATACAAATCAAATCTCTCACTCGCAATTATAATTCCTCCGATTCCGAAATGAAATGTGGGTCTCTGGTGAAATGTTTGAACATCTGATACTTTAGCGCTACGATTCCTCCGTGATTACTGTTCAAGAGGGCTCAGCGATCCCCCCCCCCCCCCCCCAGCTCAGCATCTTCTCGCCATTGGTCAAGGAACACACATGCTAGCCTAACCTCGCCTTTCTTAACAATGTTAGCATGGGATTTTGATTCACTCGCAAGCGATGTTAGATTTTCGATCGATACGGATCACTACATCGATAATGAATGATCACAGATCAGACTTCAAAATGAAGAGCTCCATAAGCTGTAACACGCCCACAGTCGTCGCCTTCAGGCATTTACTACTCTGAACTTCAGTCGAACCTCGGACCGTGGGAAAGCTTCTCCTGACAAAACCAAAATAATAATAACAAATATCAACGCATTTTTCGTAAATCAAATCCCTGAATTTCAAGCGGATTTACATCGCGATGAAAACTTAAACTGTGGAACTGTCCCTTTCAGTCAGGGCTGCCACTTTGACGCCTTAGTTACTCGTCAGCTCCTCTCTCGTCTCGCTAGACGGCGATCGAAAAACAAAGGAGCCTGTTATTTTAATTAAGCTGGGACTCAACGACCGTGCTCTGAGGCGCACGTCCTCGCCCCGGCACGATTTCCAGGTTCACGTACACAGTCGCCGTTTCAGAGTCAACACAACCCGGGTTATGAAGACTTTAAAAGAGAAGGTCTGGTCGCCTGAGCCGCGGCTTCAGAATTGAAATCTTGCCAGATCCAACAACGACACTTCCATTTCGCAACCCCAAACCAGTCGTCTGGGGGGAGGGGGTAATGTAACCTTTCGTTCAAGGCCACTGTTAATTGTCAATTCCCTAGTTTTTTCGTCGTCTTAATACATTGTTTCATCATGATTTAGAATTAAATTCATCTGCCGTTGTAGGCTGGCACAACCAACTGCATGAATCAGGGGCTTCACTGAAAAGCTGATAGTTTCTCATGTAGTCACGACGATTCACCAGTTACAGCCGGACTGTATTTATTCCACAGTGAATGGAAACCGTAACTAAGGTAGGAATTTTACTTTCAAATTAATTTCGCCTGGCCACAGACGCCAGAAATTGTGGCGCTGGTGGGGACTGCCGAGTATGATGCTGCTTCATGAGAGCAGAACAAAGTTCTTCTCCTCCCCTCCAGTTCCGAACACACTTAAGTTGTTTGCACAAAAAATAACTTGTTTAACCTTACTGCCTTAAACTGGACGCGTTACCGCAACAACAAAAGCGTTAAGAGTGCCTCTGCGATGACAAGATGTCGTCAGCCATTGCGTAATAAGCAGCACGCTTAATCCACCTGTGATTAACTACTCTTAAAATATCAAATCGTTGAGAATCTTCATCGAAATTCGTCTAAATATCGGTCAATTGTCTTCGCTGACACTCATGTAGTTACCTGCGTCCACACCAGTTTACAGTTCATAGACAACGAACGTTCTGGTGGGAAATATCTTAAGCAGTTGATCGACTGTCACGTTTTCAAGACTCCAATTGCGGTGGTCCCCCGGCTATAACACTGGCATCTATTTTAAAAAAGGTTTTATAGTCGTACCAATAAAAGACTATTCCACACAAACTCACAAACAAATTCACCGTCGTCTCGCATTTTCTGATGCAGTAGAATGGTTTCCCTGAGAGATGACGTGTTCTCCACTTGCGTGCAAGTGCTGCCTTAAAGCCAAAATGTGTAAATTCGCCATTCATTTGTTGTGTCAACATTTTGGGAACAAACACAAGCAGATACGGTCATTTTTTCTCACTGCAAATGATTTCATTATCGGGTGGCCTCCCCTCCCCTCCGCCCCTGCCATCCGTCTCTTTCTCTCCGGGAACTACTCTGCCCATCACGGGGCCCCATGGAGGACGACTCCTCCGTGTCTCGGTAGTTGCGTGGCTCTCGCCGTGGGGATCAGTTGTGGTCGGCACTTCTCACCAGCCAGAACCTCCGGAGCGCTGTTATGTGTTAGTTCCGGGAGAATATTCCGAAACCCGGTCGAATAAGTGGTAAGAGGAAATCAGATAAATTACCATTTCTGCTGCACCATTCGTGGCACAGAGTACATGCTGTTATTCTAACAACACATCATGTTTCACGTGTCAGTGACGACCCTTCACTGTTAACAGTGATATTCTTTATAATCTGTGCAAGAACATCTGTGGTGTGCGTCCTGTGTTACGGCAACTTTTTACGAGGATGTTTGTTTCTCGCCGCGTGCGTTATCCACCTTACTGTAACGCGTTTTAAGAGTGAGGTGTTCTACTGGGACGTTAGTTTTTGGTAGTGAAACGTGTTAGTCAAACTAAAGTCTTTTAAATTCTGAACGACGGGTTTGGATTTAACTAAAATTTCTTTGAAGGTGTCTTCGAAGCACGAAACAAAAATAAAATGCTCTGTAGGAATGTCCTTCATTCTGAATCTTGTGTGAATCTGTGCAGATCCAAAGAACATGCATAAGAATTCGAAGAAGTGAAACATCGTCGACAGTGTTCTGTTTTTGAAGGCGCGTCAAATCAGTGGTGATGCCTGCGGTATCATCTTGCCGGACACGATTATTGTCACATCCCGAAACGTCCGACACGGCTTCAGACATCCTGATAACCACGCTCGCTCTTGTCCTGCCACGAATATCGCACCAGCACAGCAGCCCTGACACGACTGGGATCGAACTCAAGTCCCCGTCCCCCCATGAACCGAATGTGCACCAGCTCTGCAGACGACATCGCGTAGCCGAGAAAGGTGAGTTGCAAACCAAGCTGTGGAGGACATCTGCAAGAGAATCTTTGATTTTTTCCATGGTCCAAGCCGGTAGTGAGATCAGAAATATTTGATCTCGGGACATAAATTATATTAATAAAAGAACATTTCAGACATTCCGCGGAATCGAAATGTCGAAGCCGCATCCAAATAAGCTCCCGGCATGAAATACAACGCAACAAACTGTCTTATGTTAAAGATTCAAACACTCGAAACACAAAATATTTCTGTCGGTTTTTTCAAGGTTCTGGAGTTTTTCCAGACTACGTATTGGCTCATTTGTGCGCAGAGTTGTCGCAAAAGTAACGACATCTGTCTGAGACGGTCATTTTCAGAATAAGTCGTGTTAAAGCCAGCTACTGCGCGTTAGATGACGCGCACATTTATTTCCGACTTCCTCGTACGCTTTGCAAACTGACGGTGTTAAATGCATCCACTCAAAGTTTAGTTTTCGGACGTTCGGCTCGCCACGGCACCGGACTTCTGTCACACGTGATTGGAACGAGCCGACGCAGCAGCGTAACCTAGTTACGGACTTCGGGACACGAGGCAGATGCTCCACGTCACGAGACGCGTTCTACACGCACGACGGGAGGGCGACTTCTTTGCTCAATCCCCGAGTATTTACTGGCAGGAAATATACCGTGGAAGATAATCAGGTTCTGGTTGTGGATTTTGTAAACTGGTAATGAACCTTACAGTTTATCGTAGAAGGAGGGGAATGTCTCAAGCGGCTGAGCGACTGTCAGCTTCTGACGAGGGGCACGGCTAGTGACTTAACACTGACGCGGCTGATCGCAGTAGAGATGTTAATCGATGTCCATGAGCCGTGGAATTTTAAAGCTTGCAAAATAAAAAAACAAACTTAAAACATAAGAAGACACATTTTTACTGATACAGATTCAGCTACAATAAAGTGAAGTGCGGACTGTGAAAGGGAACTGAGAGGGTAAATTAAAACTGCACGCGTCGCGTGTCGCAGTCTCCTTGACGCTGTAACGTCGTAGGCCGATATGAAGCTGATTCAACCGGAATAAATATACGGCGGTCACAGACTGGAAACAGACGGCACCGAAGTCCATTCGGAAATGCAGCTGATGAATTTTGGAGCGGGGAGCAAATTCCCCCAAGCGGGTCCAGTCAGAATAGAAGTTATTTTATCGGTCCCATTTAAACATTTTCTTCCTGATTCAAGCGTAATTCTAGTCGTACACACGGAGGCTTCTTTATAAAAACGGATCGAACTCAAAATACGATCGACGAATAGAAAAAAATGATTTAATTTAACGGAGGAAACGCATGAATGACAACTCAAATCGCATTGCGATACGAGGAGGTGAGGGGCGGGGGCAAGTGCGAACGAGGCTCAGTTTCACCGATAGATTCCGCGCCTCTGCCACTGCACCTGATGGAGTCGTAATTGAAAAGCGAGTCAAGAAGTGCCCCGCCCCGTACGGAAGCCGAAGGGTCAAAGGCCACACTGAACACTCTTTTGTTTCTTTATCCCATCGTCTACAAATGTAGTCCCTTGCCTCCAGGTTTCCCGACGAAGTTTCGTTTGCATTTCAAATTTATTTTCATAATCATCTGTTATCGCGGGATTCTGGGCAACACTGAATTTTATATTACTTGGGGGGGGGGGTTTCTGAAAAACCAATTAACAAATTATTTCACAAATGTAATTGATTTGAAGAACATGTTTTTAAATTTTATCTTATTTCAAACTAAATTAAGATAAGGAACGCCCGGTCGAATGGCACAACTACGAACGCACGCGTTATAAGCCAGTCTTGCATTCTTAAAGACATCTCGTCCGGCCGAAACATCGACTGTCTTTCCGCAACGTCCTAACACAGGTCACGACCTTCCTATTCACTGCGACACTGTACATCGTCTAAGCAAGGGGTTTTCAACCCGCGGCCCGCAGACGTGCTTTGTGTCGCTCGAGTGTGTTTTGTTGCATTAGGCCTACTGTAATACTTTGATAGAGATCTGTCACGTGGCACAAAAGAACGCGATTTCTTAATTTTGCTCAGTCCTTGGTAGTACTCATCGCTCGCTCTTCGCCCTGACGAAGTACGTTCATTGAGGAGCAAACAGCGTCAAACATTCACTAAATATTCACTGTCTTAAAGATAATTAGTTCTTAAGGGTGTTTTTGAAAAGTTTTGCCCCTTAAAGGGTCGAAGTTAAAGGTGTCCTGTCGTGAAGTTTTTATATGCCACTGAAGGCCCCCAACGCGGAAGCCCACGCGTCTTCTAGAAAATGAATTACGAGAGAAATCGTATCGACAAGCCAGCAGAAAGACCGTGAAACGCCAAGGCTGTGTAAAAAATGGCGCATGCAAATGAGCAGGGTGGGCGTGTCGGCCGATTCTTGTAAACACGAGAACGAATATTCGACTTTCGCAAAGACGGGGAATGTTACTGACTGGCTGACCGAGCAACTGTCAGCTTGTCGGTGAGGACTCTGGATCCATGGATTAGGGATGAGGAACCGTGGATGAAAATGGCGACTGAGAGAATGGGACGAGGCAGTCTTTTAACCAGAACGTCGCGGCCAGCGTCTGGCACTGGATGATACCACGAAGTGGCGGATATGAAGGAGGAAGTGGCGCGACTTATCTCTGGGTTTCTACACAAATCATTAAATTGCGCTCGCGCGACGATCAGATCGCTCTGGAAACTCGGCAGTGCATACGCTTAAATGCAGCAGCAGGCCTACATGAAAAGTGAAATTCACCCGGAAGGTGTGCAGCACGACGGGAAATTGATACTCCGGATACCCAGAGGGTCCAGCGCACAAAAACCTCTGCACCTCTGCTGGCCGAGTTGCCTCTGACCGTGCACACAACTTTTAGAATTCTCGCCGCGGTTACCCTGTGAGAAAGTGACACCAATACGGGGAGGCTAGCGGCCCATACACAAGCGTGCCTCGCCTTCATTTCAACGCCAACCGGAATTATTCCTTCGTGGCGTTAATACGCGGAAATGTTCCGATTCTCATCAGCACCGCAATTACAGGAGAACATCAGATCAGGGCGGGTCAAAAAGACGAAAATTGCGTACAGAATTTTAGTTGGAAAAGAATATCGCGGACGAAAGGGGTGGACCGACTCCGCCCCACGCACAGCAAGCAGTTGGTTCCTTGCAGTGAGCGGGGCACGCACTCGCTCGTGTGCGTTCCTGATAGCAACCTTAAACATGGGACTGGTACCGAGGGCCACGGCTTTACCATTCTTTCTCCGAAACGTCTTCGTGGAAGTGGATCAGGGGACATTGTCCGGAGCATAATTATGGGCAGTTACTAAGAAAATGAAGACGCGATGATGACGGAACCAGAGGCTGCTTAGCCCACGACGTTTCGGCAGCTGTCGTCTTATCGAAAGTTGCTGTTCTCCGATAAGATGCGTCGGATGCGATCGAATACGACCACTGGTCAACAGCCCAGTCTCGGCGTAATAAACCAACACTTATTTGCAGCTAAATAAAGGCATGGCTTATCCTACAGCTCGGGTAAGGCCCACATCTAATTACCAGGGCACAGAAATGTAATCACAGATAAGCAGAGCCGTAGAACCAATTGTATGATATCATTTCCACTAAGGGCTTCCTGTAGCGATTAGGGCACTGTAATATAACAAAGGAAGTTCCTGGCACACGCAGCATTGCTGTATTTAGGACAGTGATGTTCAAACTAGGATCCGCGGGCTCAAGTGTGAAGGAGCTGTCAGACTTTCATCTTATCCCACAGCAGCCTTCAGTGACTTTTAATTTTTTTTAAAAAGGGTACAAATATTAAATTCACAACTATCAAGAACATACGCATCTTTGGCAAAGACCGTCTTTTGTTCGCTCATATTTTTCTTTTCAATTTCTAACGACTATTTGGACGCAGGCGCCTCAGGTCTTATCCTGCACCGAGCATAAGAACACCACTCATTTGTCTGCACATTCTCGTGCCTTGTGACTGGGACGTGTAATGGCTTTCCTGCTGTTATCGACTAATTTAAAAGCGAACAGAATCACTCGAAACGTACAACAGTAGGAAATCTTCATACTCACCGCTGTGAAAACCTCAAATCTTATACAGTAGAGTTAACTTTCTCTGGCCCTTGGCTGCCAAGCGTTTTGGACGTAATGATTTTGTAGAAACAATATGTTGTTCGTATTTGGCGGATGTTCATGTGGCCTCTAAACAAAGTTTACCTGAAGTAACAGAAGGTTTCTGTAATGGTCAGTGTCCTTTTCAATAGGGTTTCCGTACACTTTCAAATCCCTTCCCATATACCTGCAGCAAGGAGAAGGGGCACCCAGGGGTGTCAAATACACCTGAAGGGCACACACAGGTAAAATCTGTGTGAATTTTGTTGGAATTAAGAACAGCGTGGCAGCAATTACAGAAGAAAAATGGTATTCTGGAGGTCTTCCTGTGCTGGCGTGGAGGCTACGCACTGAATCCCTTAATCCGTGTTACTACAATGACAAACTGATGAAGCGCCTTTTGCGTGTCTGTGGGCCTCCAACGTGTGACCCTCATCCCGGTGTCTATTGCAATGCGGCTAATGTGTTGACACGGACCCAGGTGCGGGGGATGGGGTTCGGTTCCCGCTCGGGGCATGGCTGACGGGCGCTTGTTTGACAGTGCGGCTGCCAGCGCACAGAGTATTCTTAAGCACAGGGAAAATTAACTAGGAACTGATTCAAGCGCCCGCGCAGCTATTCGAGGTAATTTTGTACTAACTCAAAGATCGGCGATGTCTCTTAACCACACTGCAGCGGTCCAGTCCACTTATCATCTTCACGGCTTGCTTTCCTATCGCCACTCCCTGAATGTTGACGCTCAAAACAGCCAGATTCCATAACGCCTAGAGTATAACTAACAAGATGGCTGTTGCGCCGAGGACGAAGATGTTTCTCGAAACGTTGGTGTTCTCTCCATTAAACCACCCGAAGAAGAATTTATCACAAGTATAACTAGAA